TGGCAATTCCATCTCCTTCTGGAGTAGGCCAGGAGCGGGAACACGCCCAAAGAGACACTGACACCTGGGACTGTGCCATACGTTCCGGGCAAGGTAAACCACAGGTGGGCACAAGACACTTTCAAAACCACACAGGCTTTTGGCGAGGGAAGACCGGAGCCCAGAACCAACCGTGGACTACTCAGGCAAGCAGCTGCGAGAACAGGACCTACCCTGAGCCCCTTCCCAGGTCTCGCCACTGCTTGGGATACCCAGACCTCACACAGGGCAGAGTGCCACAGCCGCTGAAAGAGAAGGCCCACAGAGGCAACAAAATGGCCTTTCCGATCAGGACCAAGCGGGAAAGGAAGTCTGTTGATCTCTTGCTCTGGACAGGCACAGACACAACAGTCCCAGGAATGTGCTTCTTCCCTACCTCAAGTTTTTAACATAAAGCATTCAAATCTGCAAAAGGACATCTAGAACTTCACAACCAGCACCCTCAGTGGTTACGCACAGGCTCTTCCAAGATCCTCAAGACTAGAAAGGACAGCAGTGGCAGGACCCCCAGAAGGGTCAGAAACAAAAGCAGGAAGCCAGCCGTAAAGGCCAAGCCATGGTGCACCCGCCCCAACCCGGGAGCGGGTCATGCCAAGGACTCCATGGCTGGTTCACGGAAGCTGTACTTAGGAGATGGGCTGAGGAACCCTAAGAGCGACCCTGCAGCCCCCTGGGACACCAAGACCAGCCACACACCCAAGGGTGAAGGCCACTCCCCGGTGCCTCCAAAATCACCCAAAGCACCAGCAAAAGGATCACGTCTCCAGGTAAATGGGAAATTTAAGCCCCAGGGCCCACTCAGGTCACCTGCTCAGAGAGAACTCTATCAGGTAAGGAACGATATTAGCAAAATAGTTTTGGCCCAGAGAAAGTAGGAGACCACCTCAAATGACCCCTAAATGTCCGCTGTCACATCAGCTGAAGGAGGCAGTCCCCGTGCAGCAGACTGAGTGGACACAAAGGCAGCATTGAAACAGGAGCGCACAGAAGCCAGAGGGAGTGTGTCAGCCTCTTCCTTGTACGACCTTTTGCCTTCAGTCACTGTGCTCAAAACAGAACATTTCCAAAGACAGCAACAACATCAGGGAGTCAGACAGACATTCACTGATGCAACTGATTGCACCTTCCAGAATCTGAGTAAGAACTAAGAAGGGTTCTTCTAGCACAAGTAAGCTTTCTCCATCCCAGATGCGCTGTCAGTGTGCTATACTCCAGAAAGCAGAGTGCGTCTTCCCCTTTTGTTAATGTTTTGAGTTCTCCAACATCCCTGGAGAGGCCAGTAGTGCAGTTGTTGCACACTACCCCACGGTATGCACACCAAAGAAAGCTCATCCTTGTGGCCTGATTCAGCCTTTGAGAACAACCGCAAAAGCTGCTCAGGAACATTACCCAACAGACCAAAGCAGACACTGCCCCAGGCAAACATTGCTCAAAAATCAATGAACAATTTATAAAACCTGTTTTTTCATCCCTTCCAATATTGCACAGCATGCACTGAAAAGGTCAAATGGGTGGGTGGGGGCTCTCTTGGCAACCCCGTGGGCCCAGTCCAAACCCTGGAGGTCGCTGTAGAATGGTGGCTTTGGGGGGAGGGGGGTGATACAGGCTATCAGAGCAGTTTTTTATGCTGGAAGACAAGACTACCTATAAAGACAAGTCAAGGTCTCAAATGGCGTCCTTCGGATTATTTCATTCGACTCTTTCCAAAGAAGTCCACATCCAGCGTCACTCCAGTGCAGGCACACTCTTGCTGGGTGAGGAAGCCCCTCCAACAGCATTTCCTGACACCATCTGGAGCCTTCCGCACAAGCACGGACTCTTGCTCACCCTCCAGCCACAGAGCCACAGCCAAGCCCCCAGGAGCCCTTGTCCAGCAGCCATCCCACAGAGACCGGCCTGCTCCAGGGACAAATGGCTCTCCCAAGCCTCTCCCTCAGTAAATGTACCACGAGACTCTTCTAGGCCTCAGCAACGCCTCCCAAAGCCTTTGTGCCCTATACTGGCATCGGGGCTTGGCCACAGGGGGCGTGTCCCTCAGCCTGCACCAGCGGCACCTCTTAGCAAGAAAGAGAGGCAGACGAGAGGCGCAGGCCGCCTTCGCACCACACGCAATACCATGCAAGAGCAGGGGGGAAGGGGGTGTGCTTTCTGTCTTACCGGGGACAATAGAAACCGTGTCTTTCTCCCAGGATACAACACTGACATACTCTTGCACTGAGGAAGGGATGAGGCACTTGAAGACAGCCACATTTCCACGCATTGACCTTTGATCCTCCACCCGAACTGTGTAAGGTTCCCTGAAAACTGAGAAAGAAGAGAGACGGGGAAATGGTCAGTGGGATGGTTAGGCGGAGAGGGCGTGACTGGCCCCCAAGGTCACTCAACGGGCTTCCCTGGCACAAGCGGGGTATTCAAACTTGGGTCCTCCCGATACTGGTCTGACCTTTGCAATTTTTCTTACAGAAAGCAAAGACATCTAAATTCCATAAATATGCCAAATAGTACAATTGTATATGTTAAATAAATTATAAATGGTACCTTTTATGTTGTTATATTAGTAAAAGATGTTCATATCCCCCCCCATATCCCTAATTAGTCTTCCATTTGCTTTGTGAGCTACAGCCCAAAGTATGGCTGACAGAGAGAGTTCACCTAGGTTAGGACAACTGTGCTCCACAGGAAACAGAAGTGGGCCCAACCAACAAATGTCATCCAGGGTGTTTCTGGGACTCTACATGATGCAGGGATCTGTGCGACTTAAAAGCTTGCACCCATCTACCTCAACAGATATTCTGACAGCAGGGTATATTCCCCTCTCCAGTGACACACTCCTTATTCTCTGGCATCAAACATGGTAATTTATTTTATTTATTTATTTGGATTTGTATCCCGCCCTCCTTGAAGGCTCAGGGCGGCTCTCCATGCTGAATTAGACAGATGACAGCAGCTCTGGACACAGCCTGCGGTCTACTGACAACCTCCGCACTCCTCCTCCTCCTCCTCCTCCACTTTCTCTCCCTCCCTTTGCCTGAATGGAGCAGCCCATAGGAAGGGAAATCTGGCCCAAGGAAAAGAGAAGAGCCGGAGCAACCCCACTGTCGGTCAGTCAGTCAGTCAGCCAATACCTGCTTTAACCCGGATATTTGGGCTCCTGATTTTGCCCATAGAGTTCTCTGCGGTACAGAAATAGTCGTTGTCATGGATAAAGCTATTGAAGGCAGATGGCGAGAACGGGTAGAGCTGCAGCGTCCCGTTGGCGTGGACGTGGCGGATGTGTGGGACATCATAGATGTCATCCCCAGTGGCAAGGTACCAGCGGAGGGTGGCACTGGGGGACCCTGCTGCCGGGCAGGGGATCACCACCCCGACGGTGCTGGAGAAGGTCACCTGCTGGATGGAGTCGTTCACAAAGTAGAGGCTGGTTCCGACATCTTCAGTGCACGCTGCGGAGAGAAGGAGCCCGAGGTTATCATGAGCCAAACACCACTGAACCGGGGGGGGGGCGGGGGGGCACCTCCCACCCAACCACGTGCCTCAGACTCCCCACGTCACAAAGAAAACGGCTCCTGTGGAGGTGGCCTGAGTAACCATCTCCACAAGCAAGACAGCAGAGCATTTGCCCGACCGAGCTTCCTCAGCTGCACGAAGCTCCACAGGCAATATCCTTACAACATCCCCAGCATGCAGGCTACCCCAGAACTGGGTGGAGGTGGGAGGCAAAGAACTTGAGCGTAAGGCATGTAGGGGAAATGACCAGGCCTTTAGCGAATTCAGGAGTCCTACTCCTCCCTCCTCTTGAAAGGGTTCCCAGCCCTGACAATTGCCATGGGCTACAGAAGAAAGGACAGAGGAGTCTCCAGGAGTATTTCAACCCACCAGTTCTGAAAGGGCTTCAGAATACACACAGGCAGTAACTGCCAAATGGTCAGCGCCAAGAGCTGAGGCACTTCAAGAGATTCCCTCTACAGCAACTTACAGCAATCCTGGGACAAAAGAAGTAGAATCAAATCACAGAATCATAGAGTTGGAAAAGTCTATAGAGGCCATCTAGTCCAACCCCCTGTTCAATGAAGGATCAGCCTAGAGTGTTTGTAAAATGTGCCTGAAACCTTGAAACAAACAGTGAAATGTATTTCACACCACAAGCAGCACCAAACAGAAGTCAGTTTGGAACTCTGCAGGAGCATAACCGAAAGATAGCCCTACAACATACCCGAAAACGTCCAGCGAAGGAGCATCCACCACCTCCCGAGGCAAACTGTTCCACTGCTCAACCACTCTTACAATTAGGAAGTTTCTCCTGATATTTAGCCGGTAACGACTCCCTTGTAATTTCCACCCATTAGATCTAGTCTTGCAATCCGGAGCAAGAGAGAATAGATCTGCTCCGTCTCCTACATGACAGCCCTTCAAATACTTGAAGACTGCAATCATGTCCCCTCTAAGCCTTCTCTTTCCCAGGCAGGCTAAACAGACCTTCATCATAAGACTTGGACTCCAACCCTCTCACCATCCTGGTCGCCCTCTTCTGGACACGTTCGAGCTTGTCAACATCCTTCCTAAAATGTGGTGCCCAGAACTGGACACAGGACTCCAGGTGGGGTCTGACCATAGCAGAATAGAGCGGAACTACCACCTCCCGTGATCTGGACACAATGCTTCTGTTAATGCATTCTGTTAATTTGTATACAATAATAATATCGCCACAATATAAGCCACAATGTACAGTCACTATTATAGTGCTAACAATTGGAACAAATTCCTATACCATCATAAATTGTAGTTACAATATAATTAGTCCATAAACGACTCTCAGCAAGGTAATAATTCAAGGGCAGAATCCATGAAAAAGTTCACAAGCTTCTAGTTGTGCAATGCAGTCATATATCCCCGGTATACAAGTACAAATATGTTCCTCCGGTGTTCAAGATGGGATTTTCCAGAATGTTTCTCCCGTTTTGGGACTTTCCTCAGTCAAGAGGGAATTGAAGACTGCACATTTTGTTAGAGTTGCCAACCCCTACGAATAGCAGTCGTACAGAAATACCGTTCATAGGGTGCAAACAGAAAGCCTCCACAAGCCGGCTTGTCCAGCCGTCTCAGCCCCTGCTCCCTATGGGGCCAAGGACTGGTTCCCTCCAAGAACCACTTCCCTGCAGCTCAGGCTTCAGGGCGTCAACCCCCTGCCTCCCTCCCACTCTGCACGGGGGGGGGGGGGCCTTATATGCTCCCTGGGAGAGCTCCGCCTCCTTGACAGCCGTTGGTTTCTGCTGTTCCCTCCATTTCCCCCCAGCCCAATCATAAGGCTTGGGAACCGCAGGCCTCTTGGGACATGTACACGCAGGCCTCAGGCCTTGGCGGAAGGGAGGCGCCCTTGAGGCCTACAGGCTGCTCACACTTCAGCCTTAGGGCCAGGGCCAGGGCCACTGCTGCCTGTTTACTTACTTCAGTTACTTTTATTCCGCCTCACAGCTGGGGCTGTTGGGACTGTGTGCAAATACACACACGATAAGTTAGTGCGTTATCTGGAAGACCACCACTCGGGGGGGGGGGGATGGACGCCCCCCCACCTTTCCTGTCACACCTCGGAGATCCCTTCTGGGGACCCGTCCCATCGCTGGTTGTCCTCTACAGAAGCTCAGAGGCCGGGCATAGCTGCCCCTTGCGTGGGACAGAGGAGCACACCTGCCCTCCAGACAAGAAGGCAAAAACTACCTCCGTGGCTGTGGTGGAACGGGCCTGCGTCACCCGGCGGGCCCCACTCTGCCCACCCCTCCTCTGCCTGACCTGGCACCTGAAGGGGCCGTTCTTCTCCAGGCCTCCCTCCGGGCATTGCTGCCACCACCGTCCCTCTCTCTTGGGCTCTGGTGAGGCGGGGCGGCCTCCTGACCTCCCTCCGGCGTCCCTGGGAACCCTGGCAATCTTCGGGGCTCCCCTGGAGAGCTGGCAACTGGCCGTCTGGCCCCTGTCTTCCTCCTCCTCCTCCTCCTCCGGGAGTCCCCGGCCCACCCCTGGCATGCCCAGGCGGCTGGGGGGGGACACCACGCGGTGCTACAGAGGGACTTCTCACCGCCAACAGTAAGAGGATTTGTTTGAAAACTATTTACGGGCATCTCCACAGTGAACTGAAGACTCAAAATAAAAGGCGACCAAACCGCCCCGTCTTGCTCCCTCCTCTGAACTACTCAGGCCCTGTCTGGATGGTCTGCAGGGCGGGCGCATCGCTTCACTCCACTCCACTCCACCGGGGGGGGGGGGGGTGGAGTGGGATCAGCACCTCTCCCACAAGGGCCTCCTGCGGACTCCAACCAAACAGACTGGCTGCCTCCAGACGTCGGGACTGGACTGGACTGGACTGGTTTCCCCCCACCCAAAAAAGCTCCACCGCATGTAAAACAGCCATTTCCCGCCCAGGGTCTGCCCTCCCCCCCCGCCCGCCTGCCTCCTGGGGCCGACCGCCTCACCGCCTCGATGGGCTTCCCGTCCTCTCCGAGGGAGCTGCCCTCCGAGGGCCGCCTGGAGACTGGAGGGCAAGCGGGGGGACGAGGAGGAGGAGGAGGGGGCGAGGGGGCCCAGGCCTGCCGCCTCCTGTCCGAGGGCCTCCTCCCCTCCGGCCCACACCCGCCTCAGGCACACCCACAAGATGGCGTTTCTCCACAGTGGCCTACGTGTGTGCATACCCACACACCCACACACACACACTTCATGACTTTATTTAGCCCACAATCATTTACAAAATTTATATCCTGCCCTTCTGCCTTTCCAAGAGCCAACAAGGAGGCTAACCGTTTACAACATACATGATAAAATGCAGTATAAAACCATCACACTAGACCCCCTCTCCGTAATACCTCACTAAGGCAACGTTAAAATACATACAAAACATAAAACTTTGGTTGGGAACCAGGGATCACTGAGGGAATGCCAAACGAAACAGAAAAATATGTGCCCTGAAGAGCCTCGCGTTTAACGGACCGCCCTCTGCTGGTTGTCCCCCACCCACCCCACCCCCCCGGACCAAAATAGACCTGCCTCGCCTCCACCAGGGCCCCAGCCGGGCGGCGCCTGCTTCCGACAGTGAGACCAGGGCCCGTTGAGGCCTCCCCATGGCTGCTGCACGAGAGACCCCTACGGCTCGGCGGGAGCCCACTCATGTCCCCAGTGGAAGAACCGGAATGGAATATACTGCACTGCCCACTTTAAATGTTTTAAATTGGTTTTATTGTGTTGATTTAAAATTGTTATTTATTATCTGATTGGATTATTTTAAAAAACATTTTAATTAGTTTTAAAGAGATAGATATACTACAGAAAAATAATAAGGAACAGAACAGAAACAACTAACACAATAGAGTCTATACTCTTATGTCATCATACAGTAGTATTACGGAATCTACTTCTATTACACCTTGTCTATGTTGTATTTCTGATTCATTTTTTAAGTTCTCCAAGGTAATTTTGCATCCATTTGTAGAATCTCGTCCATTTTCTTTCCAAGTTCCCTTCTTGTTTTTCATATAATTGTAAGGTCAATTTGTCCATTTCTGCTGCATCCAATAGTTTATAAATTATCTCTTCCCTTGTAGGTATCTCTTCTTTTTTCCAATATTTTGCATACAAATTTCTAGCAGTAGTTACAACCTGTATAATCATATATACATTTTGTTTGTTAAAATTTTGTGGTGCAATATTTAATAAAAACAATTCTGGCATAAATGGTATGTTTGTGTCTAGAATCTTTTGTATTACCTTATGTATCCTCTGATTGAATTATTTTAAGTTTGTATTTAATTTATTGTTGTGAGCCGCCCTGACCCCGCTTATGGGAAGGGTGGGATATAAATCGAAATCGTAAGTAAACAAACAACAAACAAACAAGTCTTCCCCTGCTAGCAGCAGACGGCCACAGAAGGGGACAGACGGATCTCCGGGGGGGGGGGAGTTCCAGAGCTTTGGTGCTGTGGCTAAGAAGGCCCTCTCTCCGGTTACCCCCCCACACCTAATCTCAGAAGCTGGGGGCACCCGAACCAGGGCCCCTGAAGAGGACCAGAGTGGTCGGGCAGGTTCCTAAGGGACTGGGCCGTCCTTCAGGCATGTTGGTCCCAAACCACATGGGGCTCTGACGGTCAAGACCAGCACCTTGAATGGTGCCTGGAAACAAACTGGAAGCCAGTGTGGGTGGGCCAAGACTGGAGTGACATGTAGTGTTCCCCCCAAGCTGACTGAGTGTGAGCTAGCTCACAGTTTTTTAGCCTCCGGCTCACACATTTTTGTCTTAGCTCAGGAAGGGTGGCTCCAGAGCAAACTCATTGATGCAGTAGTAGCCACATCGCTCACTCACAACTTGAATGCCAGGAGCTCACAAAGTAGGATTTTTGCTCACAAGACTCCACAGCTGAGAGGGAGCCTTGGTGACATGGTCCCTGCAACCCACTCCCGTCAACATCCCGGCAGCGGCATTCTGTACCAACTGAAGTTTCCGAACGCTTTTCGAGGGCAGCCCCACGTAGAGGGCATTGCAGTAAACGGATCTAGATGCAGCCAGGGCACATGCCACAGCGGCCAGAGCTTATCTGTCCAGGAAAGACCGCTGCTGGCTAACCAGTCGAAGCCAGAAGAGGCCCTCCTGCTGGACCCAGCTGCCCCCCGCTTAGCCAGCAGCAGGGCCTGGGTCGTCCAAGAGCACCCCCCCAGACTACGGACCCGTTCCTCCGAGGGGAGTACAGCCCCACCCAGAACATTTAGACCACCTGCCAACTCAAAGGTCCTCCAGGCAGATGACAAATCAAAACACACGCTCTTATATTATATAAGCACCACTGGTCAACATAAAACCATCTAAACCGCACAGGGGACTGCACCTCAATAAGCACCATCCCAGTCCACCCCGAAAGCCAGCCCAGTTGAAACAGAACTGACTTCATATGGTCATTCCAGCACTTCCCGTTAAGGACCATGGTGGTCACATATTGTACCAAACGGGGCTTCTGAACTGCCTTCAGCAGCAGCCCAGATGTAAAGTACATTCAAGTAATCGAAGGTGAAGATTACCTGGGCCAGAAGTGTCAAACTAATTTGTTACGAAGGTCGGATCTGACATAAATGTGACTTTGTCGGGCCAGGCCATGTGTGTCACAAAACGTAATGTGAGGTACTGGAGATAGAAACTCTATAAAGGACAGCAGCTGGTAAGCTCCGAGTAGGTGCATCCTCACTGCAAGGCCCGCTGGGCTGGGAGGGGGGTGCAGAAGAAAACCCACCTAGGCAGACTGGAGAGGCAGCCGTGCAGCACTGGGCAGATAACTCCCACGATGCCTTGACCGCTGCAGATGAGGCTGTTCTGCCATTCTGAAGCCACAATGGAGTGGCTCCGCCCCCTCCCCCCCCCCCCCAGCACTTCCTCCCTGGCATCAGTCGCTCACGGGCCGCATAAGAGCCCTGGATGGGCCGGATCCAGCCCCCGGGGGCCTTATGTTTGACAGTTCTCCAGGAAGGGCCACTGCGGGGGCAGGCTGGCCTTAGCTGGTAAAGACACTCCACTCAGCTCTCGACGTCTGCTTGCCTGATGGCAATGTGGAGTCTGGAAGTGCCCCCAGACTGCAACCTGATCCTTCAAGAGAAAGTGCAACCACATCCACAACAGGTGCAGCACCTTTTCCCGGATCACCTTTGTTCCTGACCCACAGTAACTTCATCTTGTCTGGATTAAGTGTCAATAAGCCCCCGTTTAATCTTTCACTGCCTTCAGGCACTCCTGCTGCCTCACTCCGTTTCGATAGAGAGGAGAGCTAGAATGGTTGGTGTGTCGCTTGGGTATCGATGGCACTGTGCCCCAGATCTCCAGGGGATCTCTCCAAGGGGCCTCAGGTAAAGGCCAAGGAGTACAGGGGACAAGGCGGATTCCTGCAGGATGCCTCTGGCCAGCAGCCAAACAAAAGTCCCACAGTCCCGTCTTCACCTTCACGGGGAGCATGTGAAGCCAGCGCAGGACTTCCACCCCCACCCCTCCAAACCAGGCAGCCCAGAAGGTCACCAGGGCCCATCGTGTTACAAAAGGCCCCCCAGAGAGAGTCGGAAAGAGCAGCCGGGAGGGACTCATGGCGGCCAGCTGGGTGGGTGGTGCAGCCAAGGCAGTTCTACTGCCAGTCCAGACTGGGTCCAGATTCGAAAGGATCTAAGTGCACGTGTACATGCATCACACTTTGCTTCACTTCTCCTCCACCCCTCGCTCTACCCCTTCTTCAGTGGAGGCTGTTTAGCTGCGCCCGATCCCAGCAAAAGGAAGGGTCACGTCTGAGGATGGGGCCTCCGCGCACGGGCGGCTTCTGGTGTCCAGAGTCCAGGGCCCTCCCTGGCTGTGCCAAGGCAAAGAGCCACAACGCTGCCCGTCCGGAGCCAGGAGGGACCCTCCCTCCGCAGCCTCAGCCGTTTCTCCACCTTTTCGGGTTGGGGGGGGAGAGCAGAGGGAGCAGCGGGATGCAGCCGAACGACTCCTCTATTAATATTCTCAACCAAGCACTTTGCTGCCCCCCCAGGGATGGTGCATCCCAACTGCTCATTTGAGGAAAGGCTATTAAAGCCTTATTGGGCACAACAATTCACATCCCATCATAAAGCAGTGATGAGGCCGTTAGCGCGAGGCAAGATGGGCAAAAATATTTGCGTTTTCGTCACAGCAGCAGACTCCAGAAGCCGTCCCCTCACCCACCATCACATGCTCAAACACTAGAGCTCGTTCATGAGCGGGTGTTGCAGAGGAAATATTCAGAATGTTTTAACTGCTTCACAGCACAGATCATTAATGCACATGTTTTGTAAACAAGCAAGCTGAGAGCTGAAAACATCTGAAGAGACCACAGTGAGGCCCCATGACACTTCTATGACCACCAGGGGCACTTCAGACCTGGCCATGTTTCTTCTGGAACGAATAAAGACCCCAGCCCAGAATTCACTCTCCTCTCCCAGCACAGAGAGCAGAACGCAGTCAAGGATCATCAGTGAGCAATGCACACTCCATCCTCTGTCCTCTCCTCGATGTAAACACCACCTGGCTCTCTTCACTGACTACACCTAGATCACACCTACGGAATGCTCCCCAAACCCCCTTCCAGCTGCTCTCCAGATTGCAAGTATTGGCAGATTTAACTGACCACACGAGACCCATTGGTGGAACTGAAAGGACAAAAGGAGTCAATTTACTTGGAATCCTCTAGTCCAGAGCTGTTCATCCTTCCTTCCAGTTCCTCTCAAGGCCTTTTCCTGCTCTGCTACTAACTTTCCTTTGATATGCAAGTGAGCATATGGTCTACTTCTATTTTGGCAGTGTGCTTTGGGTTGGTTCACAAACATGTGTAAACTGTACAGAGATGTGAAGACCCAGGGAAAAAACTACAAAATTTTGATAAGGAAATGTGTTGTGTTTTGTTGTTCATTTTTTCCAAGGGTTTTTTCCATTTTTCCAGCAGAAAAATAGGCAAATTTGGGCAAGGACTGAAAAAATACTCATGAATTATTTTCTGTTTTAGAGTAAATAAAATGCTTCTTAAGGCAAGGTTTCTCCACACTCAGAATATATAGCATAAGGAATTTCCATTTTGGAAAACTGGGAAATGTGGGGAAATGGGGTGTGCAGGGAGCAGTTTCTTACTGTAGACATAGGCAACATTTCAAGTTTTTTT